AACCACAGACCCAGGAGAGCCAGAACCTCAGACCCAGAACCACAGACCCAGGGCCAGCCAGTCAGCCAGAACCACAGAGCCAGTGGAGCCAGAACCACAGACTCAGAGACACAGACCCAGAACTAAGAGCCAGTGAGAGCCAGAACCACAGAGCCAGGGACAGCCAGAACTACAGACCCAGTGAGAGCCAGAACCACAGACCCAGGGACCTAGAACTACAGACCCCATGAGACCCAGAACTACAGACCCCATGAGAGCCAGAACCACAGACCCAGTGAGAGCCAAAACCACAGAGCCAGGGCCAGCCAGAACCACAGACCCAATGAGACCCAGAACTACAGACCCAGGGCCAGCCAGAACCACAGAGCCAGTGAGAGCCAGAACCTCAGAGCCAGTGGAGTCAGAACCACAGACCCAGAGCCACAGGCCCAGTGACCCAGAGCCACAGGCCCAGAACCACAGACCCAGCCCCAGCCAGCAGCAAGGGATGGACAAGGGGCTTCCTTTCCAAACCCCCAGGAGCAGCCGATCCCAGTGCCCCTGTGGGCAGCAGAAGGAGCTGCAGCAGAACCCCAGCACAGCCAGCTGGGCAGGCAGGGATGAGCAAAACCTCGGAGTGGTGGATGGGATGTGTCAGAAACTCGGCAGCTGCAGCCAGAACCAGGTGGGTGTCCCAGCAGGGAGAGGGGTTACAGCACAGCAAAACCCCAGAGAGGGGCAGAGGCACGGCGGAGCTGGGCAGGGACAGCCTGGCTCCAAACTGGGCAGGGAGAGCTCCCCTGGTGGGTTTGACGCTGGTCAGACACCAGAGCACCCACAAAAAATTCATTCATTCCTTCTCCCATGCTGTAATTGAGCAGAGGAGGGGGAAAGATTAATTTTTTTTAAAAAGCTCATTGGGTGGTGTCATAAATAAATTAGCCAGTTTGGTTAATAAGGAGAATTTATTCCATAATTAAAATACAATCATAAAAAGGCTGCAAGCAATGATCAGGTCAGTGCTGAACCAGGCTAACAGCATCGGGTGAGACAGGTGGGGCACTCTGGCTCCTCTCCTCTGTGCATCACGAAGACACAGCTCTCACAAAGTCTTTTTTATACATTTCCAAGCTCCGAGGGTTGCTAGGGAGAGTTTCTTGCTTTCTTATCATTCATCTTATCCTTTTAGCATATTAATGTTTTTCCTTTCTTGCTGCCGCTCTTGCTGAGAGTTTCCCAAAACTGGTAAATAATTCACTTTGCTAGAGGAAAATCTCCTGCAATATACATTCCAGGAGACACATATTTATCTTATCGATGATGCATATCGAATGCATATTGCTGGGGTTTGGTCAGACAAATAATCCTCTGGAATCAGCATTTCTGGAGATGAATATTCAGGCTAGGATTTTGGTGCATATTGCTGTAATCTCATCAGAGGGAATTTCCCAGAACCCTCCTTTGGTATGCTAGGATTTTCATCAGGTGAGATTACTGTAGTCTCAGCATGAATTTATACATATCATCTATTTCAGGTGAGGTAAGGATTAAGAGAGAACACTTTAAGGGCAAAACAGGCTCAAATCTTTAAAAGGTATAAAGAAAAGTTTATTATTCCTTCTCCCATGCTGTAATTGAGCAGAGGAGGGGGAAAGATTAATTTTTTTTAAAAAGCTCATTGGGTGGTGTCATAAATAAATTAGCCAGTTTGGTTAATAAGGAGAATTTATTCCATAATTAAAATACAATCATAAAAAGGCTGCAAGCAATGATCAGGTCAGTGCTGAACCAGGCTAACAGCATCGGGTGAGACAGGTGGGGCACTCTGGCTCCTCTCCTCTGTGCATCACGAAGACACAGCTCTCACAAAGTCTTTTTTATACATTTCCAAGCTCCGAGGGTTGCTAGGGAGAGTTTCTTGCTTTCTTATCATTCATCTTATCCTTTTAGCATATTAATGTTTTTCCTTTCTTGCTGCCGCTCTTGCTGAGAGTTTCCCAAAACTGGTAAATAATTCACTTTGCTAGAGGAAAATCTCCTGCAATATACATTCCAGGAGACACATATTTATCTTATCGATGATGCATATCGAATGCATATTGCTGGGGTTTGGTCAGACAAATAATCCTCTGGAATCAGCATTTCTGGAGATGAATATTCAGGCTAGGATTTTGGTGCATATTGCTGTAATCTCATCAGAGGGAATTTCCCAGAACCCTCCTTTGGTATGCTAGGATTTTCATCAGGTGAGATTACTGTAGTCTCAGCATGAATTTATACATATCATCTATTTCAGGTGAGGTAAGGATTAAGAGAGAACACTTTAAGGGCAAAACAGGCTCAAATCTTTAAAAGGTATAAAGAAAAGTTTATTAACAGAATTTAAAAAAAAAAGGATAATGAGAGCTGAAATAAACCTTTAGAACACCTTCCCCCCTGCACCCCCCCCAGCCTGTCTTTCTTTTCTGCCGACAGTGCAGGGAGGCAAAGACATGGGGGTTTTGGTCAGTGTGTCACTTCTAAACAATCCTTCTTCAGTCCCCTCAGGGAGAGGAGTCTCTCTTGCTGTGCCATGTGGTCCTTCCCATGGGAGGCAGTTCTCTGGGAACTTCTCCAATGTGGTTCTAATTTTCACAAGTCGCAGCCCTGTCCAACATCTGCTTCAACATGAGTCCCTCCCAAGGGCAGAGCAGTCTTCCCACAACTGCCTTTTTTCCGTGGCCCCCTCCCCTCTGTTCAAAGGTGAAAGAGAAAGAGCTTCCTGCAGAAAGAGAAAGAGCTTCCTGCAGCTTTTTCGTTCTTAAATACGTCATTGCAGGGGTGTTGCTAACTCCTCTAACTGAGCCAGCCAATGTTGGTCATCGAAGCCTTTAGGGATTGGTTCTGCAGGACATACAGCATAACTTTCTAACATAACACATATAATATCAATTTTAATATTTGCGAAAAGCCAATCATAAAATACACATTTTTCACATCCTTGAACAATGAACAAAGGAACACCAAGGGTTTTCCAGTTCTTTTGTAGTTTTTCCAAGTCCTTTCTGAGAGCCTGGGAAAATGGTCTCTGGCAGCTGGGAATCTGTGGGGTTGAGACTCTTGTATGTGATAAAAGATGTTAGGAATTAGGTGGCTCAATACCTTTGAGGTCCTGGACTTCTCATTCAGTCTTTGGCCTGGGGCTGGATTTTCCCTTTCTTTCTGCCTTTTCATTTTAAAATTCCCCTTGAATCAGAAGATGCCATGACCTGAATGCAGTTTCTGTAAGGATGAGTGAGGTTCTTCCCTTGCAAAGCAAAGGCAGCGGCCAAAAGGCAGCTCAGGTTCAGCAGGGGCTGCACCTGTGAGCTGGGGCTGCCAGAGGAGCATCAGCTGCTCAGGTGATCTCTGGGGAAAGGCAGGGCTGTCCTTTGATCCCTGGGGAAAGGCAGGGCTATAATTTCCTCTCTGGGGAAAGGCAGGGCTATCCTTTGATCTCTGCTGACAGCTCTGAGTGAACCCTAACCCAACCCTTTGGGAACCTGAGCAGTGCCAGATGTGCCCCTGGGACAGGGCGAGATGTGGGGCTGAGCCTTGAGCCTGAAAGGGGCCACAGAGAAGGCAGGGGCAGCTCTGCCCCTCCCTGCAGGGTTTGTGCCCCACTCAGAACCAGCTGAGCCAGCAAACTCCGTCTCCACAGAGGAGAGCAAAGGGCTTCGCACCCCTGAGCCCAGCCCAGCAGCCGGGCTGGGCTCCATTTCCCTTTCTCCTGTTCTCTTTCTCTTTCTCTTTCTCTTTCTCTTTCTCTTTCTTTTTCTCTTTCTCTTTCTCTTTCTTTCTCTTTTCTCTTTTCTCTTTCTCCTGTTCCCCTCCTGTTGTGTCCCTGTCTCTGGAGCTGATTGGGCCATGCTCAGGCCAGCAGGACGTCCAGTAAAATGTCCAGCAAGATGTCCAACAGGATGGGCAGCAGGATGGCCAGGAGAATGGGCAGCAGGATGGGCAGGAGGATGGCCAGCAGGACATCCAGCAGGATGGACAGGAGGATGGACAGTAGGACATCCAGGAGGAGGAGCAGCAGGATGGCCAGGAGGATGTCCAGCAGGACATCCAGGAGAATGGGCAGCAGGATGGCCAGGAGGATGGGCAGCAGGATGGCCAGGAGGATGGGCCGCAGGATGGACAGGAGGATGGGCAGCAGGATGGCCAGGAGAATTGGGCAGCAGGATGGGCAGGAGAATGGCCAGCAGGACATCCAGCAGGATGGCCAGGAGGATGGACAGTAGGACATCCAGGAGGAGGGGCAGCAGGATGGCCAGGAGGATGGGCAGCAGGATGGCCAGGAGAATTGGGCAGCAGGATGGGCAGGAGAATGGCCAGCAGGACATCCAGCAGGGTGGCCAGGAGGATGGACAGTAGGACATCCAGGAGGAGGGGCAGCCGGATGGCCAGGAGGACATCTAGCAGGATGGGCAGGAGGATGTGACACAGTTTGGACACAGGACATGCCCAGAGCATAGGGCCAGTGCTGCTGGCAATGTTACATTAAATATGTAGTAAAATTTAAAAGCGTAGTAAAATTTAAGACAATTTAATAAAATGTAACTTGAAATTTATACAACTCACATTTTATACCATTAAGTACCATTTACTACAACTGACATTTAAACAAATACAGCTTTAGAAGTTTACAACATTAAATACAAATTAAATTGAAATTCATACAACTTAAAATTAATATAATAGAGTTAATGCAATCTAAGCCTTATTTCATATAACTTAAAGTTAATGCAAGTAAATAGTATTTAACATTATTTAAATTTAAAGTGATACAACTTAGTTTTATGCAATTAAATAAAATTTAATAGAATTTATACATATATATTATACGTATTTTAAATTCCTACAACCTAAAGTTAATGCAAGTAAATATTGTTCAATAGCATTTAAAGTAATACAACTTAAGTTTATACAACCAAATACAGTTTAATACAAGTTGAAATTAATACAATTTTGGTACAAATTACTACAAATAAATACAAATGAATGCAATCTAAATATAAACTCATACAACTTAAAGTTAATGCAAATAAATACTACTTAATACCACTTACACTTAAACTAGTACAAGTTAAATTTACACAGTTACATATAATTGACTACAATTTAAAATTAAATTAATGTAACTTCAAGTTAATACAATGCAAAATAAGATGAACATCTATCAAACTGATATCAATAGCTACAAAACACCTACAAAATCAACTTTTTGCAAAAACTATGCATCTCTTTTTTGGCCCTGTGGCCAGGCTTCGTGGGTTGGGAATGAACATGTTTGTATTTTCCAGTCTCAGATATTTCTGTTGCCTTGGAGTCCAGTTGATGTTTTCCATTCCAGGTATTTGCACATGTGAGGTCCTTAGGTAATGCTCTTCTCCTTCCCTCAGGAACTCTTCAATTAGTGCCACCTGCAGTTAGAAAGAAATGCTGTCACAAGCAGGTCCATTTGCCTGCATAAAAACTTTAAAAGCTGCTGCAGTCAGTTTAATTCCAAACTGATAATCATTAGAAACAAAAATACACCGAGGCTTCGCTCGGCCAGCTGGTTACAGCCATGGCGCCTGACTTCATCATTATTTTTGTTTTCTCCATTTCTGTTTGGATTCAATTCCTTTGTTGCTGTGGAACAGAGCTCTGCTCAAGATGCAGACCATGCATCGTGAGAGGATCTAAAGAATCCATCTGCCCATTGCAGTTTAAGCTGAAATAATTGAAAAAATAAATCCTGCTTTGCTGTGCTGACATTGGGTGGAGCATGGCTTCTTCAAGCACAGCACAGAGGAAAGGTGTCATAGCTGAGATGGAGACAATACAAAACAACCCACTCCATTTTCAGAAGGCTTGAAACCCAGTTTTTATTCTAGCATGCATGCTTTTTATACATTCTTAAAAAACTCCCAAGTTTACACTTTACTCATAGTCAGAAGAGACAAACAAACTGCTTATTGGAATAGAGAGTTGCAGGTTTCCCTTATTTATCCTTCTTCTTCCTTGGTTTCTATGTCAACAACCTTGGTAGGAAATTCTTTCAGGGGTAAACATGGATCCTCCCATCAAACTCCTGTCTGGCTCACAGAAGTTGCTGCAAAACTTCTTCCCCAGAAAGGACTGGGAATTAATCCAAGCGTGGCTTCCTCTTTTGTTGACCCTGACCTGTCCCTGAGGTGCTCCTCAGCCCTGGCCTTGGACTGGAGCCATGCCACGAGCTCTGCCCCTGCTTTGGGTCAGTGTGGGGGGGTGGTTTTGCGTTGGTGTTTCTGGGTTGGTGTTTTTGGGTCAGTGGGAGGGTGGTTTTGAGAGCCAAGCAGGAAAGTTTATGCACAGTTCCATCTGCTGCCCTGGGGTGCCAAGGGCACAAAGATTAGGGGAGAGAAGCTTTGCCTTCTCCTCCTCCTGCCCATGGAGCTGGCATGGGGCACCTGGTCAGGGCATGGGCTACATGTGGCACCGTGTGTGATGCCGTGGGCAAGAGTTTTGTGCAGTGCTGGTGAAGCTCAGTGGGCACTCATGCCTGGCTTTGGTTCCTGTGCTGCCAGGAGATCCACTGCCACAGGAGCACGGGGAGCTTGGGGCTCTCCAGAGAGCCTCGTGGCTTGGCTCTGCTGTGATGGGCTTGGTGTAGAAACATGCAGAGGATTAGAGAGAGGGCTCCTGGTGGCAGCCTGGTTTTGGAGAAGTTGAAATAAAAGCCTGGGAAATCATGGACTGGCCAAAAGCATGTGGGGAAGGTGGTCCCATAGGGCAGGGGTCCAGTGCAGGGCTTGGCCCTGTTAACCACAGCCACAGAGCCTGCAGGACTCTTCAGCCAGAGACCAAATGAAAGTGTCTGCACGACTTTCCTCTGCCATTAAAAGTGCCTGTTCTGTTTTGGGGGTAGTGCTGGTGTCTGCGTGAGCACAAATGGCAGAAAGAGGCAGGAAAATGAGTGCCAGGTGCTGGGTGGGATGTGAAGTGAGGCTTTTAGTGAGTCAGTCTCATAATCTGAAGGTCATGAGTTTGATCCTTCCACAGGGCACCAGTCTGGAAACTGCCTTCATGGATCCCCTTGATGGGGAGACACCTAAACCATTCTGTGGGATGGGACTTTGGGGTTTTTTTGGTCTTTAGGTTGTTGTTTATTTTTCTCTCATCAAAAGTTTGGTATACAGCCTACATCTCAGACTTAGCACGCAAAGAGAAGGCACCAAAAGTCACAAGACACACTGATTTAAGGTCTTTTAAAACTGTTCTGTCCAATTAACTCCTAGAAAGTACTTTCTTTCTACTTTTTTACTAATAACTAATTAATTTTTTTGTTCACACAACATCTGTATTGCAGTTCTTTGTAACCAATCACCCTGTGCTCCCAACACAGCAGAAAATGGAGGAGATGAAGAACAAGAAGGAGTTCAGACAACGCCCAGAATCCTCCATCTTGTCTTCTATCTTCCTCCATACTAAAAACCTAAAACTCTTAAGTTTTTCACCCTGTGATAAATATACTACTATCTATTTCACACACTCGTAGATTCCAATTCATCCCAAAGTCCTGGAAGCTTTCTCCATGGACAAATGTTAAAAGCAGTGTTCTCGAGAGGATCAGGACTTCTCAGGACAGGCAGAGAAATATTCCCTGTGCCCTGGGTTCCAGCACAAACCAGAGCAGCAGCAGGATTTACAGCAGCTCTTCAGGACCACCCAGCAGTGTCTGTGCTGCTGGGGATGCCAGCAGGCAGCAGCAGAGGAATGATGTTCCTGCCTGGAGCTCTGCTTTGCCGTGCTCTGCCTGTGCTTTCCATATTTATAGAATAGGTGTGGGCTCCAGCCCCCCAGGAAGAGCTGCCCTGGCACATCAGCTGCTGCCATCACCGCACTGTTCCTGGTGCAGCAGATCAGCTGCAGTGCTGCTTGCACAGCAGGGATGCAGCCAGACCCTCACAGGCGCCCAGGCAAACCACAGAACCCTTCCTGGGCTGCTCCTGAGCACGGGCAGAGGCCAAGGCATGGGGTCAGGCTTCACTTGGCACTCCTCTCTTTTCTGCCATTTGAACAGACCAGACTCAAGGATGTTTCCTGCCCAAGGAGCAAGCTGCTCTCCTGCCCTTTGCTGCAGGCTGTTACCTTCTGTATTTTGGTCCACACGCGCTCTCCCTTTCTTCCTGCGAGGATGTCCATGGCATCTGCCATCAGTGACTGCAGCTGTGGCACCAAGATACAATCAGTCAGTGTGGAATTCACTGGGAAATCATTCCTCCGAATACACAAATTAAACCCTAATTCAAATCCTTGCACTGATTTTATGACTCCTCTTGCACACAGTGAGCACAGCCAACTCATCTTTGCTTCAGTCCTTGCATTCTTGTGGATCTAAAATACTGTAGTCCCCTTCCAGGGCAGTCCTGGCACCCTGCACCCTTCCCAACCCCTGGAAAATAGTTCAGATACTCCTAATTCAGAGACAGAGAGGCAAGGATTGGGTCCAGGGTGTGCTGCCCTTAGCATCAATGTTTAGGAACAAACTGGGGAAAACTGGTACTTGAGATCTGTGCTATTGCTGCACTCTAAACAATTCCCTTCCAAAATGTTGGGTTAAGTTAAAGGGAATGCAGACAGAAGCTTTTGGAGTCTCTTCACAAGCATTTTACACAAGGAATTAAGATCTACTAGCACTATAGGTATCAGCATTCCTGGGGTGTGCTCAAGGCACAGGGCACACCCAAAGGTGTCCCTTTAGGGGAGGAGACACACCATCTGTCCACTGATGAACAGCAAGGAGGAGATGTTTCCCCCTCCTCTTTTCCCCCAACCCCCTTGGGTTCCACTTTGGTGGCTGCAGCACTCATCCCAGTGCTGGCCCCTGCTGGAGCTGGGCTGGCTCAGCCAAGGGCCCAGCCCGTGCTTCTCAACAGCCCCAGGGATTCTCCACCGACGTGGGGCACCTCTGCAGCAAGCCTGACAAGTTACCAGGAGCAGGCAGGCAGGTTTGTTCTGAGACAGGGAGCATTTGGTGCTGAGACCCAGCACAGAAAATCAGTTTTCCCTCCTTTCCCCCTCCTTCTCAGCTATACCCTGATTCAGGCTGTTTTGCTGCAGGTGCCTTCTGAGGTCAGAGGTGTCAAGGCAGCAAGAGCTGAATCATTGCAATAATTTTTCCGGACTGATTTGGGGAGGTTTTGGGAGCAGAGAAGGGATTTTCAATAAGTACTGACAGGTGAGTCCTGGTGGATCTGTCAGTGACCCTTGTAGGTGATCAGCTCCTCCTCTGTCAAAGCACTGAAGGAAGATTTGAGAACTCTTTTAGGTCCCTACCTTGGACAAAGGACTTCCAGGGTGTATTGGATTAAACTCTTTTCTGACCCAGAGATGGGGTAACTGAGAGGCATTTTAAAAACCTTTATTTTGTTTTTTTCTATGTAAACCTTCTAGAATTCTCTACAAATCCATTTCCCACAAAGGTGGGAAGTACAGAACTCTGCCCTGGCCCTTCCTGTTCTGTCTCTCAGCCTGCAGAGGCAAAAACAAGTGTTGGAAATCAAAACCTACCAGCTTGTCATCCTGAGAGACTCTCTGCAGGTAGGGAACAGTGGCCAGCTCAGCCATCGCCTGGGCCATCATCTGGGTCTGTTCCTCCCCTCTGTGCAGGTGGCTGAGCAGGCTGGCGTGGTGGAACTGCTCAATGGCCCGTGCACAGGGGCCACGCTCATCCTGTGGGCCCAGAGAAAGAGAGGAGGTGAGAGGAGAGGCACAGGGAACACCCTGGTCCTCGCAGTGCTGTGCCTCCAGGCTTCTCCTCGGTGTTCGTGCTGCTCCTGCTCTGTGCCAGCCAGCACCTTTTGGGCCCTGCTGCTGGGACAGGCTTCAGAGAGGCAACAAGAAGAATTTCTTGCCACGAGCTCTCCAGAAGGACTAGGAAAATAAAGATTACATGATAGATGGGAAGGGGAGACAGCAGATAACAAAGATAAACAGTTTTTTCCTTTGGAATTTGCATTTCCATCAGCCCCTCCTGAACATCTCCTGACTTTCCTGATTGGCTTTTCCAGTCTCAGGGGAGAGGCTGAGGAAAGCATGCAGCACATCAGATCAGGGTTTGGGTGCAGACAGGGCAGCCCATGGTTTGAAAGACAGAGCCTGGAGGAACTGAAGCCTGCAGGGGTGGTCTCTGGCCACCAGGCAGCCAGGAACAGGGCACACATAAAGCATGTTCCAGCTTAGCCAGAGCCATGTGTGTATAAATGATGTCATGAACTTCAGGCTGGGTGGTTGCAAAACAAAGTGGGCAGAATTGACTTCTCTGAAGTGTTGCCATGGTCTGATCAGCTTAGGTTTAGCACTGAGCTGGTTTGGTCAAAACCAGCCTGGGCAGAACAAGAAGCTGGATTACACGTTTGCATCTTCAAATGAGGAAGAGAGCAGCAGAAAGAAATGTTTGTTCTGTTAAACCCCAAAGATATTTTTTTTCCTCTCCAAGTAGCTTGTAAGGCTTGAGTCTGTAGCTGAAGTTTGGCCATTTTTAATTTAGCTTACGTGTGATGGAAATAAGATGGAATCATGTTTGCAGCTTGAAGACAGTTGTGGAATACTTTAAAAGAAACAAAAGTGGCCCAGTCTCTGTCAGGGCCATAAAGAGAGGTCAGTCCCCAGCAGCAGAGCACCTCTGGCTCTGTGCCCATCTCTGTTCCCAGGCAGAACTGGCACTGCCCTCTGCTCCTTGGGTCAGAGGTTCCATCTTGCTGGGATCACTGAATGCTCTGAAAACTGAAGGGAAAGGGAATATGTTTCCCCTGACAATGGACATGGACCTGGCAGCTGTTTTTTCCAATCCAGTGACTCTCTTTTCTCTCCTGGGGCTTTCCTCCTCTCTGTGGCAGCTCTCACAGCGATCCCTGGGGCTGGATATGAGCCCACAGGCCCCCAGTTCAGCCCAGTTCCCTGTCCTTGCTGCTCTGGAGGTGGCACCAGGGAAGCCCTGGCCTAAGCCATGGGGCTGCTGTGCCAGCCCCCTTGGAGAAAAGGTCACTTGGCTGCTGCCTTACCTGGTGCTGGGGTTTCACCTGGGTTTTCTGGGAGTGCACTTAGGTTTCAGCAAGAATATTTGAATGTCAGAGGGGAGGTGTAAAGCTGATAGAAAATACTGCTGTGTGGGAACCCTGTAAATTCCTACAGTGGGGACTGTAGCAGCACTCTGCTCTCATCTCTGACAGGATGAGTTTCTTTTCCCTGTGCCCTGAAAACAAGACCTCTCTGCTTATCTCTGCTTGAACTGTGTGGTCCTGTTTCTCCAAATTAATTTACAGAAGAGGGGAGTCATGGGGAGTGCAAAACCTGACTGATTTCCAAGTTTTTTCTTTTCCTGTTACTCTTTTGAGAACGCAGTAGTTGCAATAGAGGAATCTCACCTCCAAAAGCAAAGAGAGAATTGGGGGGATCAAAAAATTTTTTAAATGGCAGTTTTTCTGGGACTTTCAGAAAGACCAGGATTTTATTGTGTTGCCAGTATCCAGCCCAGACTCTGTTTGTAGTTGTAGCTTTGAGAGGAATGCCCCCAGCAGCAATAGATCCTCCCCTTTCCCAGAGCTGCCATTTGCACTACTCTGCACATCTGGGGCTTTTGGTCATCCAGAGCCAAGAGGAAAAGGCTTCAGGAAAGTACTACAAAGAAGCAGCTGTGTTTCCTCAGGGCTGCCTGCCCTCCATCCACTCCACTTCCCTCAGGCCAGTGTGGATGCTTTTGGCCAAGCCCTGCACACAAGCTCCATGCTCACTGCTGCTACAAGGAAAGGAGTCTGAGCTTCCCCAGATCACTAGCTCATGTTTCTTTGCTCAGCAGAATAATTGAAGAATTGCATGGAAACAGTCTCGTCTACGTGTACATTTGGTTGTTGACCCTTGTGGTAATTGTCAGCCCCAGTGCTAAAAGCTGAACCCATTATGGCAGAAGGGGTGGAGCAGAGGGTAACCACCATCATCTGCCACATCAGAAGGTGCTTCACACCTTCACTCTGTAGGGATCTGGATCTCAGTCACTAGAAATGCTTCAAGGAGCAGTGATGACTCCTGATGGAGCTCGGGGTGGGAGGTGCAGTCTACTGTGGGTATGAAATAAGAGTGAGGGAACTGTGTTGGTGGTTGTGTGCAGTAGGGGTATGATATCAGAGGCAATAAAGATGGGAGGAAATTGCATGCAGAGGGACTTTCAAGAAGCTGTGGTCACTGTTAAGTCATTAGGACTGGTTTTTAAAAGAGTCTGAACCCACCAGACCTCTGTTCCTAATGCCATTCACGGAGCATTTCTGGACACTGCAGGAGCAGGTGCAGCAGGAGTTACCCCCAAAAGCACATGTTCTTCCCACACACCACATACCAGAAAAGGGAATGGGATACTCACCTTTATCTTGGAGCTTCCTATAAAAGCCATGGCTGCCATGATCCTTTGCCCAGTGTTCTGCCAAAATGTTTCTGCTTCTTCCTCCGTGCTGGGACTGAAAGTTATTTTCTGGCCTAGGAGGTGAAATCACAGAATCACAGAGGCTGTGTTTATTAATCTCCATTTTCAGATCCATTTTAGGGGATCTGGCAGGATGTTGGGTGACCTGGAGAAGGAGTGAAGAGGATGGGAAGATCTGCCTGGGCCGTCAGGGCTGGAAATGGGTCCAAGACACCCCTCACCCCCTCATTTAGTAAGGATGGTGGGGGTCACCCCCGAGCCAGGCCAATCCTTGAGCAACTTAGCACACCTGGAAAGACTGGCAGTTTTTGGGTTACCAACTTCTCCACAGTTTTTCCAATCTCTTTGTTCCTGAAGCCCAGAGTCAGTAAGTACTGCTGGCCAGGATGAGATTCAGCCTTCTCTGGCAACAGGTGAATTCCATGAGGATCTGCACAGGGAAAGGAAAATAATTTCCACTGTCATATTTCTTTTCAGCTGTAAGAGAAGTTACTTTTTGGGAGAAAAATACGAGAAGTCTCCAGAAACCTTCCCAAAACTCAGATGACAAAACCAACACATCCAGCCCTCACTGGGGTTTGAATCTTGGGGCTCTGCAGTCTTTTGCATCAACAGCTTAAATTTCACTGATGCCTGAGATAAAGCATATTCTGCCCAATTCCCCACAGTGGTGGAAGTGTCTGAAGGCTAAGCAGCTCAAACTCTGCAACTCTCTCCAACTCTTTGGAATTCAGCTGCACAAACACAGTCCACGGTGTTTAAGGGCAGCTGAAACCTGCTGTTACCTGTAAATATGTGCTGCACATAATCTGGATGCTTCTCTGCAAAGGTTTTGTTGGCCTCCTTGATCTTGTCAGCCTTGTCCTCTTTCTCAAAAGGTGTGTACAGAGCAGAAAAAGAGACTTCTCCACTGAGGGCTTCTTGAGTCATAGCCTAAAAAAGGGGCAGAGAAATGACAAATTTAATGTTGGGTAGAGGCTAGTTAGAAAAACCCAAACAAAACAACTCAGTGGTTTGGAAGGATACTCCATGAACCTCCATCTTCAAGGAGGAAACAGGGACAGGAGAAACTCTTTCAGATGGAGGGAAAAAGTGACTCTGAAAGTCACATCAGGGAGACTTATGAAAAAATGCCTTCATCAGCCGTATCCAGAGCTGTTGTGTCAGGGGAGGTTTGGGTTGGATATGGGGACAGGCTCTTCCCCCAGAGGGTGGTCAGGCACTGGAACAGGCTCCCTGGGGAAGTGGTCACAGCTCCAGGCCTGACAGAGCTCCAGGAGCTGTGGGACAACACTCTCAGGCACAGAGTGTGTCCCTCGGGAGTGGCCCTGTGCCGGGCCAGGAGTTGGGGTTCCTCAGCCATCCTTGGGGGCCCCTCCCTGCTGGGAAGAATGGAATTCAGCAAGAAAGTCTCACAGATATGTGTGTTTGGCAGAAAGATCTCTGAATGTAGAACAAGATAAAGGAATAGAGATGGAAGCAAGTTTTGATATAGAAGAATAATAGAAGTGTAGATTGAGGTTTGCTGAGTCAGTCTTGCTGGACAACAAAGAAGGCAAAGGTTATGTTGAGATGGAAAGAGGTTTTATGACTTAGAGCAAAGGATAAGCTGACCACAAACAAAAGGGTGTTTTTACCAAGCAGAAAGATAGCACAGGCAAACAAGACATGTCCATGTGGCAAGTGGAAAAAAGGTCTAAGAATTTTCCACTGCAAGAAAACTGAAAAGCAACTTTAAGCTTAAACTGTACCATGCTAACCCATCTGATTGGGTAGTATTAACCATAATATGGTAATGACAGTAGTTATGATAGGTTATAGGTAAAAGTAAAGGGATAGATTGGTTGTTATGTATTCAAATGCTTAGCAAAGAAAAATACATAGTGCAATATAGCCAAAACTGAAGGGTCTTCAGGCTTGTCAGCAGCTGGAACTGACAGCTGTAGGTGCAGGCTCTGTCACCCACGACCCGTGACTGCTGTAACAACTTGGATACAATAACTGCATTTTGTATACAATAAACAGCAGTTTGTGTACAACAAACTGCATTTTGTATGCGATAAACTGCAGTTTGTATACAATAAACAGCAGGTTGCATACAATAAGGAGCATTTAGTATACAGTAAACTGCATTTTGTATGCAATAAGCAGCATTTTGTATACAATAAATTGCATTTTGTATGCAATAAACTGCATTTTGTATACAATAAAGTGCATTTTGTATATAATAAATTGCATTTTGTATGCAATAAACTTCACTTTGTATGCAATAAGCAGCATTTTATATACCATAAATTGCATTTTGTATACAATAAAGTGCATTTTGTATGCAATAAACTGCACTTTGTATGCAATAAGCAGCATTTTGTATACAATAAAGTGCATTTTGTATATAATAAATTGCATTTTGTATGCAATAAACTTCACTTTGTATGCAATAAGCAGCATTTTATATACCATAAATTGCATTTTGTATACAATAAAGTGCATTTTGTATGCAATAAACTGCACTTTGTATGCAATAAGCAGCATTTTGTATACAATAAAGTGCATTTTGTATATAATAAATTGCATTTTGTATACAATAAACTTCATTTTGTATGCAATAAGCAGCATTTTGTATACAATAAAGTGCATTTTGCATACAATAAAGTGCATTTTGTATACAATAAAGTGCATTTTGTATGCAGTAAAGTGCATTTTGTATACAATAAAGTGCATTTTGAAGAGCCGCCCGGAGCCCCCATCTCTCCTGGGCTCTGTCTCCTCCCAGCCCGCTCCAGGCTGCTCCCCAGCCGTCGCTGTCACCTGCCAGTAGAGCTGCAGCAGGTCACTGGTGTTCGGCGCCGCGCCCTCGGCCAGCACGTACAGACAGTGCGCCACCATGGCGCTCCTGCGGACAGAGGCAGAGAGAGGAGTGGGCAGGCAGACAAGGGCTCTGGGCCAGGCTGGAAGCAGGTCCTGTTCAAAGAGGGGCGGGTGAGCTTTATAACAAAGGTTACACGGAGCTGTCCGTCCTTGTCCAGCCTTTGGACAAGCATCAGCAGACGCATTTTTAGCTCCTCGAGCTTCCTGCCAGCAAACAGCCCTGGATGTCATTTAGGGCCACAACTGGGATTGTTATAGCAGCTGGGAGGACTGGAGCTCTGCTGCCCCTGAGGTCACACACACAAAGCCAGTGCAAAGCTGCCATGGATTTGGGCAAAGCCTGGCTCTTGGGGATGTGTCACTGCTGAGAGCTGCAGGGAAAGGGATGCAGAGGAGCTCTCTGGAGGGAGCCCGAGCAGCAGAAGTACCTGGCAGCCTCCGAGTATCTGTGCAGGCACCGAAAGCAGGCAGCCTGGCGCAGGTGATTGCAGAAGTGAGAGGGGTTCTGAATGATGCTCCTGGGGGAGAGAAGAGGGGTGGACAAGGTTAGGCTGGGATTTCTTACACCACTAAAGCTCCTAAGAATCAAGTGGTGACTGAGGTAGACTCCATATGCACTTCTGCTCTGTAACTCAGTGCTACATCTCAAATGTCAGGTGAACTCTCTGTCTCTGTGTCCCTCTCCCTGTCTCTCCAGCTGTGACTGATGAAGAAAACATTACTAAAAATATTACTTAAAGGTTCATTTTATTGTGGTTTTATCCTAAATGCAATTTCATTAGGGCTTTGTGTATTGCTCTAGAAAAAATGCTCCAGGGATAATATTCTCTCTTGCCTTTGGCATGTAGGTACCAGAAGCAAAACTGCCACAGCACAAGTTCTTGTTAGCCCCCAGCTGCCCAAACAGGAGCAGCAGGTGTCTGGCCCATCTCCCTGGAAGCACTGTGCACCTGGAATGTCTCACAAAGTGAACCTGAGATATTTTGAAATATTCTCTGTACAAGGCACAGGTGCAGCATGGGCAAACCTTGGCCTGTGTGTCAGACCCTTCAACAGATGCCATTAGTCCAGCCTAAGCACCAGCTCCACGTGTAAGGTGCATTGTCTGCTTTCCTCTTTTCTCACTATTTGGCTGATTCTTCCTGCACAACATTCATTCCTAGTCTTTGTTTCATTTTGGATTTCAGTCTGAGCAGTGAATCCAATCCTCGTTTCCTCTTACCTGTGGGAATGATGCAGAGCAAGGCCAGGCTGCCCCAGCTTTAAGTAGCAGATGGCAAGCTTTGACTCGATCCAGCTGACAAGCCTGGAAATATCATCTGGAGAGGACTTCAAGGGATCCTCTAGAGCAAAGCCTTTACTGCAAAGCTGCACATGAAACAAAGACATGATTTGCAAATAGAATACACCATTTGCTGCGTGGAAACACATTTTGTGACTGATCAGTGGAGAAAACTGAGGTCTAATAGACTCTGGCTTTAACTAAAGTCAGCATTACAAAAACCACAGAGGACAGAAGGGGCTTTCAGGGGTGTTCTAGGAGTTTTGTTTCTGAGAGTTGGATTTAGAGGCTGCTGAGAAGCACCAGCCCTACAGTTCTGTGATGTCCCAGTCAGTCTGTCTGCAATCCCAGGGATGAATTCCCTCATCCATTTTCCTGGTACATCCATTCACCAGCCTTTCCTCTCAGGAGGAGACAAGTTCTCCTTTCTTCTTAAGTGACCTGTGGTGCTGTTCCTACCACAGCTCATTTCAGAACATAGGGGGCAAAAAAGCACTTAAAAGGTGTGACAACTTATCATTTTGCTCACTGACTGCTATAATATTTATTGCTTAAAAAATTACTTCAATATTGTAGAAAAAAAAAATTGAATAGGATATTTGCCTGTGAACTGGAAACCCCTAATATTTGACAAATGCTTTTGAATGAAGTTTGGCAGAACAGTGCTAAAAAAAAGTGCAGTCCCTTTCTGAGAGTTTCAAGTGCCTGGCTGATGGTATTGGAGTCAGAGTGGAGAGAAAGCATTAGCTGGGGCAGAGTGAAAACTCCTCAGTTATTGAAAGGACATTTGTTGCTGATAGAGCTAAGATTAAAGAGAGGAGCATTTTTTTAACTCTATGGGATTTGAATTTCCTCCACACATCAACACACTTAAGAACTTGGAGAAAGGTACAAAATTACCTGACATTCTTTGGTTCAGTCCAACACTTCCCCCCTTCTGTGGCTTATTTACAACTCCCACTTTCCAGATTCCAGGCGAAATCACATCTCAGCATTTCTCTCCAACCCTAGGCACTCCAGGTTGGTGCCCCTGGTTCCCCTCACTATTCCTGCCCCAGGGAGTGCAGGCACAGCCCTGGCTTTGCTGTGCAGGGGTCACACCTGCTGTAGGGTCACAGCCCTTTAGCCCCATACCTCCAGAGCCGTGGAGAACTTGGCGGCGGCCGCCGCGAAATTGCGCTGCCGGCACCGAGCGTTGCCATCCCGCAGGGCTGCCCGCAGCCCCGCGCCAGCACGGTGCCACCGGCTGTCCCCCGGGCCTTGGGCAGGAGCCTGAGCCTCTGCTGGTGGCCCTGCTGGTGGCCCTGCTGGTGGCCTTGCTGGTGGCACTGCAGGCGTCACTGGCTCGCCAGACTCGAACTCGGTGTCCACCTCATCGGCGCAGATCAACTCCTCTTCTATTTCCCAGAGTCTGGAGAGAGGGATGTGAAGCGGAGGGCTCGGGAATGTCCCTGTGCCACTGTCTGCTGCTGGTGCTTCTGCTTTTGTCCCGGACACATCGTCAAGGCTTCCTGCTTTGCGCTTACAGCTCGCTCTGTCTGCGCCGCTCGGGGATCGTTCTTTGGGTTCTTTTGCCTCCTGCCAAGCCTGCAGGAGAGGGAGTGGGAGGTGAGGGGAGAATCGTGGGATTTAAAGTCATTTCAGAGAATCCCAGAATGGTTTGGGTTGGAAGGGACCTCAAAGGTCATCTCATTCCAGCTCTTTGCCATGGGCAGGGACACTTCTGCTATCCCAGGCTGCTCCAAGCCTGTCCAGCCTGGCCTTGGGCACTGCCAGGGATCCAGGGGCAGCCACAGCTGCTCTGGGCACTCTGTGCCAGGACCTCAGCATCCTCACAGCCACGAGTTTCTTCCTCATGTCCAATCTAAATCTCTTTCAGCTTAAAGCCATTCCCCCTTGTGCTTGTCACGGCTTGCCTTTGCAAAATGTCCCAGCAGAGCTTTGTTTTGTTCCCAGAAGTGATTTCTGACAATGCTTTACTGTGGATTTTAGCACCAAACAAGAGGATATAAAGGGGCAATATGTTAAAATTAGCTGCCTTCCATTCTTTTGGCTTTACTGGATACATTGTAATAAATGGGTTGGGAACATCTTATTAAATTAAACTGGATGAAGAAAAAAACCCAGAATTAAATAAAATGCAAGTGTCAGGGAAAAAAAATGTCTTTTCATTTCTAATGTTCCTTCTGTGCTTTATCCTGCTAAGAGGAGGGCAGGTGTTGTGTCCTATTCCAAAGTACCATTTGAGGTGCCTCTTCTGATCCCAGCAAGAATGGGTGTTCATTCATGTAGAGCCAATTTCAGAATCTGCTTAAACATATGAAATCTATTTCTACTCTGAGCAACTTGCTTGTGCTTAGGACACGTATTACTATTATTACACTGAGATTAAATAACACATCAGAGATCAGGTTCCTGTTCTATTTGTTTGTGTTTGCCACCAAAGATGTTGTTAAACCAATGGAACAAAAGAAAGAAGTCTCTTTTGGGGTTAAAATGGGGATCCAGAGGTCAGGCACAGAGAAATGAACCCCACTCAGGGACACACAGGAGAGCCATGGCCGAGCAGCTTCTCCCTTGCAGGGTTCCTGCAGTTCTCTTCCCCTTAGGGAATTCCCATTTCAAAAGGGTCCTGAGCTCAGCACAGCTGGACTCACCTCAGGGGCTCTTGAGGAAGCTTCCTGTTGAAGAAACATTTGGGAAGGGAACTGCTGGCTCAGTCCAAGCTCCTGGAAGAACACAGGGATGAGCACACTCAGGTTTGCATGGCTGTCCCTGAGGACATTGCTCCTCAAAGTTTTCCCAGCCTATCCCAGCTCAGGAATTCATGCTCAGCTTTTCCTCCCCTCCTTGGGAATCCTTTCAGTCCTGGCCTTTGAAAATGGAACAAACAGAACCTGCTGGAAGAGGCCTTACTTGATGAGAACACCAGAAGGGAAGTTGTTCTGAGCCCCATTCCACCGGGCCTTGAACACTTCCAGGACAACTCTCTTTGCTGTGGGCAACCTGTGCCAGAGCCTCTCCACCCTCCTCACCATTCCTCCTCCTCCAGGGAGGAATTTCTTCCCAAGATCCAGTTGAACCCTGCCCTTTGTCAGCTGGAAGCCATTCCCCTTGTGCTGTCCCTGCAGGTCCTTGTCCAAAGTCCCTCCCCAGCTCTCCCTGAGTCCCTTCAGGGGCTGGAAGAAGCTCTAAGGTTTCTCCCGAGCCTTCTTCAGGCAGAGGGGTCCCACTTCTCTCAGCATATCAGAAATGTTCCAGCTCCCCCAGCATCCTCTGATCCCTCCTGTGGGCTCCTCTGGGCCACAAGGAATCATCTGGGAGGGGACTGGGAGACACCGATGGCAGTGTCTGGGCAGTGCTGGGGCTGGGCTGTAAACTGGGGTGCTGGGAATGCAAGGAAAAGCTGCTCCCTCCTTAGTGCCCACAGTGATAGGAAATGTGGGTGTGACCTGGCATGGCTGCTCCCTGGCATGGCCAGCAGCCCCAGTTCCCTGGCATGGCCAGCAGCCCCTGCTCCCTGGCATGGCCAGCAGCCCCAGTTCCCTGGCATGGCCACTCCCTGCTCCCTGGCATGGCCAGCAGCCCCAGTTCCCTGGCGTGGCCAGCAGCCCCAGTTCCCTGGCATGGCCAGCAGCCCAAGTTTCTGGTATGGCCAGCAGCCCCAGTTCCCTGGCATGGCCACTCCCTGCTCCCTGGCATGGCCACTCCCTGCTCCCTGGCATGGCCAGCAGCCCTAGGGCCAGCACCAAAGCTGCTGCCAGCTCCAGAGCAGCCCCTCGGGAATGCCCTGGTGTTCCCAAAGGGAACCATTCCCCACGGGACAGCCCAAGCCCCCCCAGGCCCCCTCTGGGCCCGGCACAGGGGGAGCTGCCCCTTCCCCACTCACCTGCCAGGGCTCCATCAGCCGTTCTGGCAGTTGCTGGGCTCCAGTTCCACATCCAGGGCAGTTGGAGAGCCCCTGCCCCAGCCCAGCTGCCCCACCCCAACTGCCCCTGCCCCAGCCCAGCTGCTCCTCCCCCAGTCCAGCTGCCCCTGCCCCACCCCAGCTGCCCCAGCCCAGCCGCTCCC